TTTGGTTATACATAGAAGAAGCCTTAAAAAAAGGTGTTTTGTTGCAAGTTTACCACAAACGTAATGAGGTTTTCTTCGAATGATCTCAACGCCTCCGAAGACAGGATGGATGACCGTGTTGAAGAATAGGATCTTGAAGTACCAGTCTCTGAACGTACCCCAGACATGGTTGCGCTTAATGGACCCGATGAATGTTGTTGTCTTGTTCCATCTTCTTCAGTGGACATTCCAGTATTAATTACAATATTACTCGTACTATTGAAGGAAGCCATTGATGATGCTCGATCCATGTTCGTATTAGGAGCTAACGAATTGGATCGCTTTCGTTGTGATTCGCCACTACTCGATACAAGGAGTGTATTATTACTACTATTGCTGGTAGAAACACCGCGAGCAGAGACTGGCATTGTGTGTCCAGTTACTCCACCACCACCAAACGTTGAAGCCTTACTACTATCCACCAACAGTTGGCTGGTCTGAGAGGAAGAAGGTGTTGGAGTGGCATTGAGGTGATGGGTGGGAAGAGAAGCCATTTTTTGAGAGAATGGGCTTGATCGTTTAAGGAATGTCAATAATGCCGTTCGTACAATTCTCTCGGATTGGAAAAAAATTGGCCAATTCGGTGCTCCTCGTCACTAGTGATCGATATTATAACATTAAACTTGAATCAACAGAAATCAGTCGATGGTACAATCCTCGATGATGGCCTCCCTTAAAAGAGTTTGATGATTCAGATTTGTTTCGTGCGCACGAACTTTAGAGTTATATGGAATTTTAAAATTTCACGAACTAAACGTACGATAAAATCTGAATCATCAATATTATATTACCATTCTGAAACAAATATATCAACGAAGTAAATTTTGTGATATAATGTTTTTGCAAACTGATTGCTGAAACAGTTGCAATCACCCAGTGGTCATATTTTTTAGCAACGAAGAGAATGTGGTCATTTGATGCAAGAAACATTAATTAAAGGTTCTGGAATTCCATTAGCCATTGAGTTGAGCGTTGACAGATCCATCCGTTCACAATTCAATTACAACAATTCAAAACAAGAAGTTCAAAGTTGTGTACTTGCTCATTTCCATTCGGGTCCACAAGAGAGCATTAAAAAAGCCGAAAATTGTTCTCCTCTTCCGGAAGAGCAACTTCAAAAAAAATTCTCTTTGATTTTCGTTGATTCAACAGCGGCGATTGTTGAAAGTTCCAAAACAACCTGTGTAATATCTTGTCGTTTGCTTTTTTTTGCGGTTGTTGCCACACAGCTCCGCCGAATGAAAGGATTCTTTTAGAGCGTTGTTTGGATAATAGCTCTGTTCCTTCTTCATCACCACAATAAAACATCATCACAACAGGATATCCCTCTTCACATTGTCAACAACAACAACAACACACACATTCAGAGAATAGTAGCTCATCCTGGTTTTAATCATTACAAGTTCTCTATTCTGCGGAACCAGCGAGAGCAGTAAATAATTTACAATCACCACCATTCCATACTTGTCAGGTATTTGATCCTTCTCCTCCACTGAACACCCGATCCTCCTTCTCCTCCAGAATATGAATCCTACCACAAATAATTATCAGAACACAACCACCAACCCGCAACCCCACCATCATTACCAGCAGAATTATTCCAATCATCAGCATCAGCCTGGAGGTATTACCACTACGAGCAGCAACAGCAGCAGCGGGATACTCACCTCTTCAACAGCTCCACTTCTAGTCTCTCACCAATCTTCTCATCACAATTATCCATCCTCATCCTCATCGCTACACTATCCTCCTCATCATCATCCACGAGGAGTTCCATCGGTTGTATCATCAGCAGCTCAACAACCACATCATTCAACAATTCCAACAATCACTCCTAACCACCATCTTCCACAAAACCATCAACATCCGTCCTTTGCCATTCCAACTTCCTCTCAACCACAACAACAACCACCACAAACAAATTCCAACCAAACCTCACCATCTGTCTCACAACAACAAAACGGAAATTTCAATACTCTCAATCACAACAACATGAGTAACAACAATTCTGCAGAACCCAAACTGCGTGTCTATAACTCACTTCTCAAAACTCCAGAAGGGATATTTACCATGGATTCAGCAAGCTTAACTTGTGAACCACATGGCTTCAAACCGAATGATCGACGTGGAGCACCACAAACCACACATAGTGTCTATGTGAGTGATGTTTTAGTGGTGAGCTGTGATTTGATGAGTGGTAACAATCATCAACCTGGAATATTTCAAAACTGCACAGCAAGATTGGTTCATTTGTTGGGCAACAATGGTGGTACAGGCAATACAACAACATCATCAAAACGAAAGAAGAAGAAAGATGGAGGTAGTGGTGCTCTTGATAACGAAAATGATGACACCAATGCTGCTGATGATTTGGGATCGGAGGATGAACAAAACGATGACTCACAAAAGAAAAAGTCAAAGAAAAAGAACAAGAAAAAGGATCAAGATGATTTAAGTGAGGATTTTCAGGCGACCGATTTCACACAAGCAGGGATGTTGGAATCATTCGAATTACTCTCAGAACAACCATGCCAGGAAAATATGCAAAAAGGTAAAATCATTGCATCTCTTAAAGTTCCTAGAGTGAGAGGCCGAGATTGCAAGACCAAGACAGGTCAAGTTCAAGTCATTCGATTCAAAGGAAATCCAGAAATGGAACAAATTATCGCAGTGAGGTATGTTTAATGACAAACAATAATTTCAAAATTGTTTTCATCTTGATTATTCATGTTGAAACAATAACTTCTCATTCCCTCACGTCTGAATTGAATATTCAATTCAATATTCGTATTTCACAAAATGTATTTATGAAAATATACCTTGCGAATCTCATGTTTTCAAATGGTGATGATTACTTGAAAATCATTTAATTTTTAATTCACCCTTGATTTTCACCTTTTTGCATTCATCAACTCTTTCATCAACTACACATCTAAAAACCATTTAATGTTTTTAATGCACAGTGACCTATTTTGGATACGGTCAAGAACAAGAACTGAGATGGAAGTTAGAAAATTGAAAAAGCAATCTGCTTCATCGTCCTTATCTTCTAACATGCATGAAAGTAATAGCACTCTACAACAACAGCAAGTAGCATTGAATTGGCCCAATGTTGTCAAATCTACTACTGCTTCTCCCTCTAACGACTCCTCGCCCAACAATAACAATTCCTCAGAACAACTTCCTCCCAAGAAAAGACGTGGAAATTCTAGCCCAGTCAATGTTCCTTCTGCCACAACAACAACAAGCAATAACATCACAAAGGAACTCCCAAGTCCATATAGAGTGGGTATTGGTCATTTTCCTTCCTCACATCACAACATGTACCATCATCATGCACATCACTCAAATAATGCAGTAGTGGCTAGTGGACATCCTTCACACTTTCCAATATCGAATGTTCTCAATAACACAACGACTCACTACATGACGTCCCACCCTCCTCCTCATCACATGACCACAACAGCAGACCAACATCTTGCTGCTTCTTCTGCGCATCATTCCTATGGCAGACCTGAACAACAACAGCAAGATCAATACGAAGAATTGAAACAACGCATACACTATTTGGAGGATAAAGTTCACGAGTTGGAGCAAATAATATTGAGATATGGAATGTCAAAACAATCTCATCAACAACAACCATCCACTTCTCCATCGTCCGTTACACTTCAAATGCCACCACTAGTGCCTTCACAAGCTCATTCCGTACAATCAACATCAACAGCACAACAACATCAGCTACCTCCTCATACTCTTCATGAAATGCTGCACACCTCACCGAATGTTGACCGTTTATTCCTCTCCACCCCGAAAACATCATCAGGAAGTAGCAGTGCTGCCTCTGTGGGAGATACAACGACACCAACACCGACCAATCCCTCCTCTATTGTTTTCAAACCTTTCCCCATTGACATGTTCAGCCAAGACATTCCAAAAGTGCAAACGAACGACTCTAAAAAGAAACGCCAAGTCTCCCCAGTATTCCGTCGATTATTCAAAATGTGGAGTCACAAAACAGTACCCCTAGTGTTTTCAAGATATTCGATAGCTCAGATCCAATTTTCCCTATTTCTAACACTCCCTTCCTTAGTAAGGATCCAAATAATTATTCTTCACCCAATATTTTACAATCCTTCTCTCAACCTAAAGAAGAGGAACAGAAATGAGGTTTTGATACCATGTCATGCTTATATCTCTCCATTTTCTTAATATATCACTAGAGGTGAATGAATTGTACATTTTTAATAAAGTAGGGCAGTTGCAACGAACTAAGGCTTACTTATGTGATCATGATTTAGTGTTGTCATTAGGAGGAAGTCATTAAGCTGAACTACAGTAAGATTTTGTTGTGTCAGATAGATCCCAAAAAAGTGACATTTGAGGTTGACCAAGCACCGCGTTCCTTGATGGTTGGTTTCCCAATTACAAAAAAAACTTTCCAAGCTGACATTCATTCTCACCACCAACCATGACCCTCATTCCAAGAACTGCTGCTGTACTCACCGCTTTCAGTGTTGTCGTGGCCACCATCACATGGACAACCACTGCTCCAAAAGTAAACAAGAGTCATTAATCTCTCCAGAGAAGGTATTCACCAAAGCAACCGATCGGTTTGCAATTTGATCGATCAAGAAATCATGGCTTATTAACCGTTAACAAATCGTGTGATCAACTTGCACCAATAATGCGTACCTTTAGAATTTGTATTATATACTTGTTAGGTTGCTCTTTATGAACATCTTCTTGTATATTTTGTAATTTATATTTCCAAGAATACTATTTGTATCATATATATATAACTACACGAAATGATCCATCGTTTCTATTGTTGAGTTGTCAGCACAACGACCACTGATCAGCCTCTTTTGGGAATTTGTAGAGTTTGTGTGTTGTTGTTTATTCAAATAATAAATCATCCGAGGGTTTTAAAGATGATTGTGATCATCAAAAATTCTCACTTGTTGTGTTCGTTGTTGATCAAGCAGCGCCGACCGTGTGTTGAGCTGAACTTTACAACACGAACCTTCCTTTATTCGGACGCACTTGATCATCACCACCCTGAAAACCGCTGTGCGAATTGAGCCTTCAACCTCTTCGAGAGGAAAGATTTTGCGTGAAAAAATCGATAGAGATTAACATAGCACTCCTTCTTATAACACAGCAAGGTAGGTGGTTGCTGAAGGCTTGCATCGCGATCATTGGTTCATATTTGGCATTCTTTGTTTGCAATGGTGATGATAATCAACGAATGTTGATCTTTCTATGATGATTTCTTACAAATTCCTACTAATGATTCATCTTTTCACCAACATTGGAACGAACTACTTCCATATTCCCTTTTCCTTACATTACAATTCTTTATTAATTGATATCATTGATGATGATTCATCATCGCCTCTGCTCTTAATTCTGGACTTTTTTCAAAATATGGTCTTGGTGTGCTTGCTGTCTGAATATGTATTGAAAATCGAAAAATTTCAATCTTTGTGTGTTATTATATTGACCTGCTTGACTACATTATTACTGACTTGATTCCTTCTTATTCCTTCTTTTTTCTTTCGAAACAAAATAATCACAAACCTCGGAAAATCTTTTTCATCTTCCAACAATGTTGGCAATCAACAACACCATTCTTCATCCTTCCCAATCCTCATCATTCTTCACTATGGCATTCTCTTCGACTCTTTGCAATATGTTCATTCAAAAACGTCTCTCCTTGTTCTGCATCCTCATGATGATCATTTTGATCATGCCATCGATGAAATTTGTCATTGCCATTCATAATCATTCCAATCCCGAAACACTACTTTCATGTCCTTGTTGTGGTTGTTTACTTTCGGATCATCATTCGTCCATAACTTCGCACCACTTGAACTCTCCAAAACGATCATCATCATTTTCTCTTCATTCCTCTCCTCTCCTCTCCTCTCATGGAAATACCATTATAGATCGATCTTTACAATCATTCATTCAACAAATGGAACCTCAAAATTACGTTTTTCTTCACAGTGCAGCTCTCAACAAGGACACTGCTTTTACCCTTGAGGATCGAAAGAAATTTGGATTGAGAGGTTTGTTGCCACCTCGTGTGGAGACGATCACTCATCAATTAGTGAGAGCTTTGAGACAATTTCGTTCTTTTAAGAATCCGTTGGATAAATATATTTATTTGATGAGCTTGCAGATGCGAAATCAAACATTGTTTTTCAGATTGTTAGTTGACAATATGGTGGAAATGTTGCCTATCGGTAAGTGTGTTCTAATATGATGACGAGTTCATGTTGAATATCAATTTCCCAATTTTTGAAAATACCATACTTAATAATAATATTTTAAATAATTTTCAATTCTTGCATTTCATGAAAATATTGAAATCATTTTGGGCTGAATCATGTGAAACGTAAACAACTGCTTCTTACAACATTCCTCACAACAGTCTACACACCTACTGTCGGTGATGCTTGTCTTCAATTTGATCAAATCTGGCGTGTCTCTCAAGGAATGTACATCTCCCTTGAAGACAAGGGCTCCATTCCAGAAATTCTCAAAAACTGGAACAAGACACCTGACATTATTGTCGTTTCTGACGGTTCTAGAATTCTCGGTCTTGGAGATTTGGGTGCCAACGGAATGGGTATTCCAATTGGAAAACTCAATCTCTACGTTGCTGCAGCTGGATTCCATCCAGAGAAGACTCTTCCAATTTTGATCGACGTTGGAACTAACAATGAAGGATTATTGGCTGATGAATTGTATTTGGGATTGAAAAGAAAGAGAGTGAGAGGACCTGAATTTTATGAACTCATGTCTGAATTTATGAGTAGTGTGAAAAAGCAATGGCCTAATTGTTTGGTGCAATTTGAAGATTTTTCAAATGATGTTTGTTTTGATTTATTGGATCAATATAGAGATGTGCAATTGTGTTTCAATGATGATATTCAAGGAACTGGAGCTGTTATTGGTAAGTTTGTGAACTGAGAATGTGTGTGAAATTTGTTAATGCATGATCATATAATGGTCTGACTTTAATGTTCAATTCTTGACCACTCACTCAGTCGCTGGATTTTTGAATGCGGCCAAAATTACTGGTAAAAGAGCCTATCAACACAAATTACTTTTCATGGGAGCTGGTTCAGCTGCTACTGGAGTTGCCGATCAATGTTTGGGTGTTATGAAAATTCAAGCAGAACAAGATGGAACTCCAAAAGAACAAATTGAAACTGATTCTGAACATTGGATTTATTTGGTAGATTCCAAAGGATTGGTCACTCAAACTCGTTCTGATTACAATGACATGCCACATCATAAGAAGAAGTATGCCAAGAAGGGAGATGAGACTTTGGGAAATTTCCAATCGAATTCCTTGTTGGAAATTATTAAGAAGGTGAAACCTACTGCAATTATTGGGTTGTGTGGACAATCTGGAGTTTTCACAAAGGAAGTCATTCAAGAAGTTTCCAAATTGAATGAAAAGCCAATCGTATTCGCTCTATCAAATCCAACCAAGAACTCGGAATGCACTGCAAGAGAAGCTATTGAATATTCTGATGGAAGAGCAATCTTTGCCTCTGGATCTCCATTTGACGATGTCGAATATAATGGAAAGATTTATCAACTCAGTCAAGGAAATAACTTGTACATTTTCCCTGCACTTGGATTGGGAGCAGTCGTATCGAAATCTCGTCATGTGACTGACCACATGATTTTGAAAGCAGCTCAAACCTTGTCCGATCTCACTGATGAAGATCGATTGCAAAAGGGACTCTTGTATCCAAGTTTGACAAACATTAGACCGATTGCCCAAAAGATTGCCATTGAAGTTGCAAAACAAAGTGTCAAAGAAGGAATGTCACAATTAGAAGAAAGTGAAATCCCAAAGAATGATGAAGAATGGGAACAACTTGTGAAAAGTCACGTTTATATGCCAGATTATGTGGATTCTAAATTGTAATTGTTTTGGTTGAGAATTTCGATGGTTATTGCTGTGAAGCACTCACTCGGTGATTAAAGACAACCATCATCTGCATCATCATCCAGTCAGCTCTCTCAAGGAGCTTGTTGTTTCATGACGAGAACGTTACTTTTTCTTTTTGGCTTTCTTTTCCTTTGCAGAGGTTGTGTCTGTTGTTTTTCTTTTTTTTGGCTTGATATTTCTTTTTCGAAGAAGATTTCCTCTCGTTGTCCTCTTCATTGTTATCCTCCATTTCTTCATCGTCGTCCTTAGTTGCTTTCTTTCTTTTTCTTTTGTGTGCGCTTTTCCTCACCCTCCTCTCCATCATTTTGATGATTCTCGTCATTGTCTCCGTCGTCATCTTCCTTCTTTGATTTTTTCTTCTTTTGCTTCTTTTCTTCTGCTATCTTATTCTGGTCAATTATAAAAGATCGAACTTGAGACCGTTTGTAATTCTTCAAAAGGTTCACATTCAAGTTTTTGGAGAGTAGAATTAATTTCTGTTCAGATGTTTCCATTCTGTAAACAAGTTCTGGAACATTTCTTGCCTCTCTCATGACTTTCATTGAGGAAACTTCTTCCTCGCTGTTGTGATAATCAATAAACGAGTAAGTTGAGTTTGTAAAGCGTCCACATTGATCAACCAAGTCGACAAACTCTTCAGGTAATTCTTCGACGTCATCTTTCGGTAAAGCCAAATAGGTATCTGTGAAAGAAGCAATTAAGGTGAAATATTTGATGAGCGGCACGAAGAGTTTGTCACTCACTTCCATTGGGAGAGTTGCACTTGCTAACTTCTCGATAGAATCAATCAAGACTGCAGCCTGTTGAAAGATGTTGTGCTTCATATTTTCATAGCTATCAAGGTCTTTCTTGAGGCTTTCTAATCGCTGAAACTTCCAATCTAAGTCATCAATAATGATATTAAAATATGAAATCAAGACATCTGCAGATTCAGAGGGACAATTAATCACAAGCATATTTGTAACTGATGATACGCCTGAATTTTCAAAATGCCCAACTTTTCCAAGAACATCCGAAGCTACTTCATGAATCTTTGTCATATCTGAGAAAATACATGCAATTAACACCAAATGATTTACGAGAGCCTTTCCTAATTCTTTGTCCTCAAATTCTTTCGTTTTACAAACGTCAGCAATCCACTCGTAATGTCCTTCTGTTTCCAAGTACATTGTTTTGTTTCGTAATAAATGTGTCAACGTAGTGAGAAAACGCACGATACAGGTTGCCGTCACATAGCACTTCTTTTGAATAAGCATGTTAGCTAATGCTTGTAAATATTTCATGAAATGGCAAATTCTTTGATCATCTTCATCTGTTGAGGGAGCTTCTTTTCCCACATCGATAATTCTTTCCAAAAATTTAACAATTTCTCTTTGAGTACTTGATTGAAATTTCATTTTGATTAAATCATCGAATGCTTCAGTAGCAAGAGAGTTAACCTTTTCCTTTTTTTCTTTGTCCTTACTTTTAGAAGAATCACCATCACTGCTGTTACCTTTACCAACAATGTTTGACATTCTAATCAGAAAACTGAAAATAGCATAGCATAAATCGAACATTTCCTTATTTTCAAGATATTGTTGGCCTTTTTTTGCCATTTTGATTTTCTTTGTAATCAATTTGATAATGAAGGTGTGATATCTGCTATCTGTTAAGGCATGATCAGTGTCTTTCTTTTCTTTAGCATTTTTCTCTGTTGTTTTCGCAGCTCTCAGCAATGCTTCTTTGCAAAATGAAGAGCTTAGCTCAGGCAAGAATTCTGTGTAATCGAACTTTTCGTTTGTCTTTTTTTTAGAAGCACTCTTCTTACTTAAATTTTCCAAAACTTTTGAGTACTTGTCCCAGCTTTGATCAATTATATCTGGAATTGAATTCTTGTTTTCTTTGTCGTTCATCACAATTACTATTGCAAAGTAAAGAATAGATTCAATACAACCAAGATAAAGACCAGCTATTAGTCTGTTCTTTCTACCTTCGTTTGTATCATCGAAAGGTGCGTCTATTCCAAAGTCAGCAATTTCTTTGTGAAGGAAAAACTGAACGAATCCAAGAAGAATATCATAAGGGTTTCCTCCACCGTCTGGTGAAGAACATTCAGCAAGTAGAGTCAATAAATCAGGAAGAGGTTCAATAATGATCATGGTCTTTGAGTCAATGCAGCTATCTAAAAAGAATCCGTCAATTTCACCGTCGTCATTAACAGAGATGTACTTTTTCAATTGATCCATGAGGATGGGACATATCTCGTTCAAAAGGTAAGGCTTTTTCTGCACAACATGAGAAAGTCCACGATAGAGAGCTTTTCTTATCGGTGTTTGCATGCTGAGACATCTTCTTAAAAATCCAATTATTTCCAAATCAACAGAGCTTGGTTTTGAATGATTGGCACTGTTAGTACTGCTACTGCTACTACTACTTCCGATATTTCTATGAGAGATCTCGTCCAACTCGCCAGAGGAAAGTAAAATTTGTAAAAAACCACTGAGAGCCACTTGTCGAGAATCCAACTCTCGGTTGTACATGGATTTTCGAAGAACGAGCACAACTTGATCTTGAAATTCTTGACTAGTCTTATAGAGCGGCTGTACAGCAGCTAGAAGGGCTTTAGCAACATCCGTTGGCATCGTAGAGAGATATTCAATGGTTTCCTTCAACTTGGAAATGTGATCCAAGACATAGGATGTTTGGTTCAACGAAAGGTTTGCCAGCAATTCAATATACTTTTCAATATTGCCATAATTTGTCACCACACGATTGAATATCCTAGAAAGAATGTCCGATCGAACTACATTATTAATCTCAAATATTTTGCTCAATATTTCTAAACCTAGTTTGTGAGGATGAAAAGCTTGGGCGGTCAATGATAAGGATGGAGCATCTTCTGTTTTTGGCTTCTTTGAGTCAAGCAAATAGCATGCGAAATCAACAACTGATTTCACCATAAAATCTCGTCCTCTGCCACACTTTTTGATGGTATCCATAATGACTTTGTAAGAGTTGGTATTGAAAGATAAGACTTTTTGTTCGTCTTCGGTAATGAAAATACGAGATTTGATAGATTGTTTGTAGTCTTCTTCTACCAATGATTTTAAAAGCTTGAACGCCTTTTCTTCGAAATTTGTTAAGCTTGAAATAATTAGCAGAAATGATACTTTGAACGTATTGAGTGCTGAGGTTGGTTCATTCTTGATGAGTTTAAGCATTTCAGAGGCTAAATCTTGATTTTGTTTGATAGCATAATCAATGAAATGCAAAACAGTTCCTTCTAGATTGAGTACAGAATCTTCGTTATACCCGAGTGAGTTTCGTCTCTTTTCTTTTTCGACATTGTCAAAATATGAAATAATACCCTGTAAGATTTTTTGCTTCTTTCCTCTTGATGAAAGTAGTAATAATTGATATATAAGAGGAGCTGAATCGTTCAGATTCATTTTGTGAAGATAGCTAAGCAATTTGTCCAATACAATATCCAATTCAATTTCTGTCAATGGCATGTCTTTAAAAGCATTTGCAAAAGCTAAAACCTTTTGAGACCAATCACAAGAACAAATATCTTTGATAATGGTCGTCTTGTACTCGTCTGTTTTTTTCTTTTTCTTTGATTTTGAATTGATTTCAATTTCATCTTTCGACATGACAGTAGAAATGCATTGCGACCAAACGTCAAGAACAAGGCCTGCACTATTCTCAAGAACATTTTCAAAATTGTTGGAAACACCGATAGGAGAAAACTCATCAAATGCACATGATCTATCTTTGAATAATTTGTAAATGACTTGAATGAGTGAAACCAACATGCTATCAGGTATGTAGTCTAGTTCTTCATAAATGATGAAAAGACCATTCTTTGCTACCTTTCCTTCAATTCTTCCTTCAAACATCCAACTCACTAAACATTTTAAGATGAATGTTCGTTCACGGGCTAATTTTTCAATATCTGAAGAGAATGATCCAGAACTAGAGGAGGAACCTCCAGAAGCATTACCATTCAAATTATAGGCTACTTCGGAATCACTCAAATTTCTACAAGCCAAGAAATATGTCTGTACAAAATTGAACAAGGAATCAAAATCAGATTTTGACATGTACGACGAGAAAATGTGTTTGAGTTCTTTCAAAGACTTGTTCAGTTTGTTATCATCCAAATATTTGTACAATTTTGCCACATGCTGATTGGTTAGATTGGATCCCGAAGGAATCTTTTGTTTCAATTCCAACAAGCCTTTCGCAATCTTCATCAATTCCTTTACATCCCGAGTGGGGGTCTCCGTTGATGATGCTGCGGAAGATTTTGAGTTTCCAGATTGTTGTTGCGCTTTTGATTGCGGTATGGATGAGCCATGAGTCGCTTGCTCTTCTTCCTCATCGATCATATCGACCGTTGATTCGTCATCTCCATCCATCACGGGCGAACTTGAAGGCATTTTTTTGATTTTTCACTTCCAACTTTTGCAGGAACTGAAGTTGTCAGCCGTTCAATTTGAGTTTTTGTGCAAACATTTATTACCAACAACAAGCAAACTATTTGTGATCAATTAAGAGTAGCAAATAGCAGTGAAAACAAAATTTTGGAAGAATTAAATAGAAGAATACAGATGTAAAATAAAACTCTTTGATTACATGATGATTAATTATGTGTAGTCAGCTGATCTTTTCAAGTGTTATTTCGATCAAAAACAACAAAAAATTGAACCCAAAAATTTAATATTCACCTTCGGAAACCGGATCATGGTTGCAATCCTCTCTTGTCACAGCATTACATTGGTAGTGGTTTCACATTAGCGTCGTAAGACTCCCACCTGCCCTTTGTAGGCTTATGATAGATACCCTCCAACCGGTGTCGTAGGTTCGTTAATGTGCAACTTGGCTTTGTCAAAAATTGTAACAACACATTGTATTCTTGGAATACAACACGTTCAAGTGTTCCCGTAGGAGACTTGGGTATCTCTCGCAGGCACCTCGAGATAAAGGCGTAGAAACTAACTTTCGTCAGCCACCACAGGACCAGTTACGGCATTTTTTTGAAAGCGAAAAAATCAACAAAAAATGTCAGAAGCTTCTAGCAACAACAAACCTTCATCCTTTCAAAATCATCATCAACAATTTAATACCGAGTTAGCTCCAAAAGCCATCGGACCATACTCACAAGCTTGTATATTCAACGAGAGATTGATCTTTGTGAGTGGACAAATTGGATTGGACCCGCACACTGGCCAATTAGTGGCAGTCGATCATTCCGATCAGTTAGAGATGGTAAAGGCTCAAACACATCAAACCTTGAAGAATTTGGGGAATGTTTTGAATGAAGCTGATTCGGGTTTTAGTCATGTTGTAAAGACTACAGTGTTGCTTACAACCATGGATCACTTTGCGGAAGGTAAGCAGCAGTTGTTTGAGAAATCACAATGATTTAAATTCAATTCGTTGTGATTGTTTTGATTGTATATCAATGATGATAATTGAATAACTTGTGCATCTTTGATGGATATCATGAATATTGGTGATGATCATAATGTACCACTCGTGCCATGTTCATCATGGAAATCACTCATGAAAGTGAACAAGATTTATGAACAATACTTTGTTGATAACAAACCTGCACGTGCCTGCTTTGCTGTCAAACAATTACCAAGAAATGCTCTTGTTGAAATTGAAGCAATTGCCTACAAGAAGTAGAAGTGGTTGTTTCACTTTCACAGAATATGTGTATTGAAAAAAGCTCCTCTCCTGGAAATGTGATTAATTTATTATTGAATATACAGTTTGTACGAATTCATGGTCTTGGCAATTTTTTCACATCCTTAATTTACCACCCACTTGAATTCTCTATTGCACATCTTCTCTAAATGAGTGCCAATCAATTTTCAGAGTTGGATCTTTGGATTTATATAATTGTCTTGAATAATTGGTCATGTATGGAGGTTGTAATCCTCTAAATTTATGTTCGTGATAATTATCGTATCTGAATTTATTGGCATTGTAGTTAAAGTGATAAGTTTCCATCATGCCAAACATAAAAAACGAAAAGGTTGACAAGCCAAGTATGAACGGAAGTTTCCACTTGACCAGCAAATCACGGGACATTCCGTGAAAATGCATCTTGTTTGCCATCTTGATGTTGTTTGTGTTGATTGTGCTCTGCAATTTTTTATTTATTGAAAAATTTCCCATTCGCGTGTTTCTTGTGTTAAATGAATTGCATTTCAAGAAAATTTCCAAATATGGTTGGAATAAGAATGAGGTGATAGTGTTGTATTGTTCAAGCTTTCGAATCAACCCAGCGTGGAGAAGTTTTATAGCTTCCAAATTTGGAAATCAAGAAGAAGTCTTACAGATCGATGGATTGCATGATAGGAGCGTGTTCATAACCTTTTATAACCTTTTGAAGATGGAACCATTGTTTTCCATTGTTTTCATTTCATGAAATATTGAGTGAACAAGCGTGTTCGGAGCTGTTGAGGCATGATGAAAATCCTCCTCATACTTCAACATTATGTTTCGATCAGGGCTGAAAATGATATCATTTCACATGGTGCAATACTTGTGAGAACAAATCTAAAATCCATTTGACAATCCTTAAAAGAATATTCTTTGGGTTGTGAGCTCTGTAAGTAAAGAATTTGTCGTCGCAAATGATGCCCTCCCATCTGGCAAGACCCTTTCCCTTACTTGAATGTGGCATGAAAAAACCAAGATTGAGCAGAAAAGTAAAATGCAGCAGCGGCAACGACAATACTGCCTCCCACAAAGAATACTTTTGATAAATGCTGTTGTTGAGCTTTTCTTCTCTTTTCAGCCTCCTCTCGTTCCTTTTCTTCACGAAGTAATCGCTCCTCTTCTTCATCTCTCCAATAATCAGCAACCGATTCATGATAATTCGAAAAATCTTCACATTCACATAAATATGGGAATGGAAATTCATTTGTGAACTCTTCTGGAGAGCACAATTTTCGGTAGTCATGACTCTTCCAAAGATGGAGAGCTCGTTTTACAACTCGCTCAAGCCATTTTGGTGTTATATTCTTTGGAAATCTATTCAAAAGGCCAAATATCACTGTAAATTCAATGTAATTAATGTTATCGTCATCTTCATCAGCTGAAAATGGAAAATCAATTTCAGTTCTTCCGCCTGAAACGGCTGCTAATTTTTGACGAACGGTGGTGGCAGAACCTCCTTCTTTTAAAATTAATAATTCTTCTCTTCTCTCAATAACCACACTTGCAGCAACATACACCACAAAGAATGGATTTCCAACAGCCAAAAATATGTCAAATAATGTTTGAACTAGGAAAAGACTTGGTACCACGGCTATTTTGAAAATGAATTCAAGAACAGAATATTATTTTCAGTGAAATCAGTGTTAAATTCTAGCCCAAAATCCAATCATCAAATACCTACCATTGTCTGAGACAACGCTCGTGCCGTTAGACGAATCCTCGTTTTCTTCTTTCTCTCCACAATCTTGTTCAATAACATGTGCAAACCATGTCAAAATCCAACTCAGCGCATAATGGCCTTGATCCACGCCGCTCTCTCTCAATATTTCGCACATGTCATGGTGACCACTCTCTTCCAAAATTGTGATTACCATGGCACATTTTTTTATGGCTTGATCTAAATTTGGAGAATGCATAGAATCGTAGAAGTGGTTAGTTGCTAATCGGTAGCAACATCTAAATGTCGTTTCTAAATTGTCCTGAAACGTTAACAGCATAACGGAACAAATTTCATGAAAACCTTGAAAATAGTAAAGTGGAACAATTTCCTCTGCAAAATTTGAATTTTCCGCTTTTTCTTTGAATCGTTTGTACAATTGAAGGATTGAGTTTACGACCAAGCTTAAATTTCTTCTCTTATAACTCAGCTCAAGATTCATTGTTTTTGCTCCTGTGTTTTTAGAGACACCTCCATTCAAACTGCTACTACTGCTGGCATTCGATGTATTCATATAAATGACCTGGTTATTGTATTGACCAAAGAATGGAGCTAAAAATTTGAACATTGACCTCTCCACGTCCTTTTCCACTTGTTCATATTGTTCATGTTGTTTGTCAATTTTCTTAATGATATGAAAAACTGAACTTTTGTCTCTGCATAAATGATCCAAGTCATGTAATAAAAGAGGCCAAATAAATTGTCGAAGCGAGTCTTTCATACATCCGAGACTTGTTTCATGCTCTCCAGACCCGAGAGTGACCGGAGCTGAGAGAATAAGTCTTCTCAATTTATGAAGCAGTTGAGTAAATGATTGTTTGTCCTCATCAAGCTCTCCACATTCATTATTCGGAAATTGATCCTTTTCCGAGTGTGATGAACCTGCAGAGGATATTGTTTCATTACGATTTATCCTTTCTGCTTTCTCAACTAGCCTTCTATAATATTGATGTTGTTGAATCTCTTTAATCATTTGTTCCAATTTAACGGTTTTTGAATTTCTTGAATAATTCCCCGAAGCAATGCTTGAAAATGTTGAAGTGGATAAGGATGATGCTGTTGTTGTTGATGATGACGATGATCCATGAGATGAATCTAAAAACACGGAAGAAGACAAGGTCGTCGTAGGAATCGGAGAGGAAGATAATTTCTCTTCTTCATCGCTGAATGGTTCTCGCTTTGCTTTTGATGATCTTCGCATTTTTTGTGTATTTTTAACAATATTTATAATTTAAAAATCTTCACCAATTCATCGACCATCTTGTATCCCTGACAGTTCCGCAAGACTAGAACCAATCCTTGAATGGAGTACTCAAGGTTCCTCATTAATGCACCTACATGTAGAGAATTCACAGTCTACTCCAAGATGACACTAGCAACACAAAAAAATTGACTCGAAACATGTGGCCCAACAATCCTTTTCTTCGTGGACTTCTCTTTCTGCTCGTGGCCTTCTTGACCTTCTACATGGTATTGCGAGTTCCGATGGAACGATTGCCCCAAGAGATGATACAAGTTCTTCTCAAGCACTCGCGTGAACGTGGATATGAAAGAATGGAGCGTGTTTTACTCGTGATTCAGAGTATGACCCATGAGATGATGAGGCTAGACAATCATCCCGATGAAATGAAACAACAACCACCACAACCACAACAAACTCCATCATCCATGAATGATTCTCTTCTCATCTCGGAAATCATTCAAAACAACAATACTCAATGCCAACAAGAATTGATCACACACATCATCACGCTCAATTATGCTACGGAATTTTACTCGAGTTTATTGTCCAATTCGGGTTCTCAGAGTGAGCACGAACAAAAGGCTTCTCGCATCGTACAAGACCTCATTACGGAATATGCCAACACCACCACAGACAAGTGCGGTACAAATCATTCCATTCCAATACTTAGTTTGGGAATTCAATTGAACTCGAGGGAAGAATTGATAAGGAAGAGGGAGCTGTGGGACCCGATGAGTGGTGAGCTTATTGAAAAAATTGAAAACCTAATGGAAGAAGAGATGGATTCATCACAACCACAACGAAACAAAACAGACTTGACACGACATTCTTCGTGTGCAAAAACCGTGGTGGAGGTTTTAATAGCAAGAGAGATTTTGCTTTCAATTTCAAAAACTTATGCGATCCCAGGTGTAGAGAAAGGTGTGAACTTTTATTTGAGTTTGAAATTAAGGGCTCATTGCTCTCGAACAAATTCCCTTATCAAAAAGTCGCACAATATTTTGAAAGATTATTCTTCAATAGTGTCAGAGGATATCAAGAATGAATTATACTCTCTATTTAAAGTGAGTGAAAAAGTCGAGATGCTTGCAGTGACACCTCAAGGCAAGAACTTGTTATTGAAACTAAACAATGATCGAATTACAAATAACAAAATAGAGGAACTATTACAGCAAATTACTCACTTGAACATTCAAATCGAACAATTGAAAAATCAAAATGAGAAGCATATTTCGAGCTCACTCGAGACAGAATCAATATTGAAAAATACCATTCGAACGAAGAATGAGGAAATTAGCATTTTGCACAAAAA